CAACATTTAAATGAAATTATCTTCAAAAAGTAAATGTCATGAACCAATCTAACGTTTCAAATAAAGAACCGATGAGATTTTGCAAATTTTATGCGTTTTTTTTTTTAAAAAAGTTATCAAGCTCTTAAAAAATCACCCGATATTTAAAAATGGGAATGAGAGAGAGAATAAAATAGAAGTCAGTCCATTGTCGTACCACAGCAAGCCAAAGAAGATGAGGGAATAAAAAAGGTAACGGGTTTAAGTATATGACATGTTATATTCTCAAGGTTTTATATATTTGTTATTTTGTACATTCAGCTCTTCTGCAAAGTAGTTATTTATACTTACTCTCTATGCATTAATAGTGGTATACAGTGGTAAGATGCGAAACTCCTCAAAAACATTAAAAAGAAAGTCAAACATTCCTACGTTACATATAGAGATTGTTTTATTCGCGCAGTATATAGTATGTGATTATAACCTACGGCACGATATGTTGACGGTAATCCATTTCGAGTTACCCTACTGTTTTAAAGAAAAAACACAGAAATTTGACAATCGTGATTGTTTGCTCCAAGACTTGAATCGAAGCGGTATTGTCCACATATACTTATGACCTTACATATCCCTACAAAAAAAGTGCAACGGTGCAAAATCATTTGATCTTGGTGTCCAATCGACCGACCCGAAACTAGAAATGATCTGCTTACTAAAGTGTTGTCTCAAAGAAGCATTGATTGATGCGATGTGTGGAAAATGGCTCAGTCTTGTTGAAACCAAGTGTCGGCGGGATTACGAGCTTTAATTTCAGGCATTAAATAGTCGGTTATCATGGTACGATAACGGTCGCCACGGTTACGTTTCACCGGTATCATTTTGGAAGACAATTGGGCCGATGATTCCATAAGCCCACAAACTATCAAACCATTGTCTTTATGAATGAATAGGCTACCCTTGAATCTATTCAGGTTGCTCTTCGTCCTAAGCGCGGAAAATTTGCTTGTTTACATATAAATTGCAGTAGAAATGGGCCTCACCGCTAACCAAATTTGACTCGAAAACGTCGGATCTTCTTGGAACTTTTCATGTGTCCATACAGCGAAGCGATGTCGCTTGGGAAGCTCTAACGGCTACAGTTCTTTCACGAGCTCGTTGCTGCGAATCGAGTCTCCACGGCCTTCATGTACACTTTCAATTACAGCTACTATGCTTTCTTCACTGCGTGTTGGACGTGGTCTATTCGGTCGAATATTATCCAATAACGAATACTGGGTCACCCATAAGTGATGGTGTTGCGAATAGAACGCTCAGTAGGCCGATCTGTCTGGTCTGTCAAAAAGAGACTATTCAAAAAAGTACTTTTACTTGGAGCACCCTTTTAAGTTCGTCATTGATTGACATTTTTTTTAAATTGGCGATGATTAGTAATTACATTGCGGAAATTTATTCCAAAAAATATCCATTACCAAATGCATACATATATTTATATATTTATATATATGTATATGCTACTCAACACTTGCAATTGCGATAACTATACGAGCATTCCAATTCAGCGTTGGCCAAACGATTGTCATTCTCGCATACACTTCACGATTATAGCCACACATACACATATAATATGTATGTGTATAGGTTTGTACATTGGCAATTATGCGCCTAATCAACTCACCCTGGTGCGCCAATTGTTTTGTCCGTCCAAGCGCTGCACATTTTAATCAGCATTAATCCGAATCCCAGCGCTGCCATGCATGCGACTGCGCCAAAAGACATAGCTGCATATCAGTGCGTGTGCTTATGAATGTGTGTGTGTTTGGCGGTAATGCAGTGAATGTGGCCAATTATGCAGCAAATATGCGCGAGCATTGATTACTAATTTGCATACACGCACACATACATGCATTTGCGGACTTGTGTGATTGTTTGTGCGCGTGAATTTGTTAAGTGGCAGCACTGGGTCAATTAATATTTTATGAATATCAGTATTTCGCAATTTACGGTTCAAGCATTTTCGATTGTACTTTTTCCGCCAACATTATCCGACCTCGAGTTTGTTTTTGTTGTGAGCGCGAAGCTTTTTGCGGCATTAATTGGCGGTTAATGCCAATATGAGTGCGTGCGTGAGTGTGTGTGTGCAGCGGTTTCTTCCTTATTAATGCATTAAAATGTAAATAATCTTGTGGCGCTTCAAAATGTTTACGATTTTTTTCTGCTGCAGAACGCTTTTAATATTCGCTTCAAATAATTGTTTCGCTCACTAATGAAAAAGGAGAAAAGAATTGCGCTTTTTGCTTAATGAAAATTGATATTACACATGTTTTCGCTATTTATTTAATGTCATATTTACGATTTAAATGCGCGCATATTTATGAATTGGCGAAAAATGCTGATATTTACAGCTGCTAAAAATGTTTTTTATTTCTTTACTTTTTATTTTATTTTTATTTTTTTTGTATTTGTTTATTTCTTTGTTTCAAAACATTTGTTAAAAATATTACAAGTAATTTACACACGAGTGTACATGCGAACTGCTCGCGATAACGGTCCCAGCCGACTTGAATATGAGCAATTTTGCCAATTGCTTCGCCTATTGGTAAAAGTTACAACGGTTTCTTATTTCTGGTTAGTGTTTATGTGTAAATATAAGTTAATATTGGAATTTCTTAAGGTAAACACTGATAAAATTCCCGTTAGCACATAATTTATAGTATCTGATTCACAACGTTCGACCTCGAAAGGTGTAACTTAGTATTTATTTCATCAGACGTTTGCTATGAGAACAGCACATGGAAATATTTCTTTTTAAAAAAGAAAGCTGGTGGTTTCAGCGGCGAAGAAATATTCCAAACCTATACTCTGTGCCAAAAAATAAGATGACATTGTATTTATTTTGAAAATTCTTTATTTATTCTTCCAAATCAATTTCATCCCTTCAAAGTAAGCCCCTCCCGATGCAATGCCCTTATGCCAAGGGATTTTCCAACCTTCGAAACACTGGTTGTAGTCTTTTTCCGGGATGGCCTTCAGTTCCGTCTTCGCTGCGGCTTGAATCTCCTCTATCGTATAAAAACGGTGTCCTCGGAGCGGTCTTTTGAGCTTGGTGAACAGCCAGAAGTCGCACGGCGCCAGATCAGGTAAATGCGGTTGTTGCGGAGCAATATGGGTTGAGTTTTTGGCGAAATGATCACGAATTACGAGGGCAGTATGCGATGGTGCATTATCGTGGTGTAAAAACCAAGAATTGTCTTTCCACAATTCCGACCTTTTTGGCGGATAGCGTTACACAAACGACGCATAACGTTCAAATAATATTCCTTGTTCATTGTTTGATCGGTTGGATGGAATTCATAATGCAAAACACCACGGGAATCGAAGAAAACAGTCAACATGACCTTGATTTTTGAGCGACTTTGGCTCGATTTTTTTGGTTTCGGCTCTCTCTTGGCACAATATTCGCTCGATTGATCGGTTGTTTCGGGGTCGTAAGCATAGATACAAGTCTCATCGCCAGTTATCATGCGTTTCATGACAGCCTGGTAGTCGGAAAGCATCGTTTCTCACACTTCAACGCGACTCCTTTTTTCCAAAAAATTCAATGTTTTCGGTATCAGTCGAGATTTGACGCGCTTGAGGCCCAAAACATCCTTCAAACTGGTATTGACTGAGCCTTTCGATATGCCAACTTCATCAGCAAGGTCTCGACGGTTTTCAACACCAAATCTTTGATTTGTTGAACGTGAGCTTCGTCGGTTGCGGTTAATGGTCGCCCTGGACGCTCTTCGTCTTCGACACGTTCACGGCCGGCTTGGCACGTATAGTAAGCACTTGTAAACATTTTTTTAGACATAGCCTCATCACCGAAGGCTTTCTGCACCATCCTCAATATATCCGCAGAAGAAAATTGATTCCGTAAACTAAACTTAATGCAAATTCTTTGCTCAACAAATTTCGATATCGCAAAAAACGAAAAACTCACTTTTAGCAACTCACAAAACGACACGTATCTCAAACACCAATGAATATTTTGACATAAATGTGACTGACAGTACTACCAACCTAAAAAAAAAATATTCCCTAAACCCTTTGTTTTGTGTGTTTTTGTGGTACATTAAAGTATTACATAACTTGATTATTCCGTGTGCATTCTCTAATCGTAGCATTATAGTATGAGAGGGAGCCAAAAAACTTTTTTTCGGAATATTATTGACTTGAAGTACTTTAAAAATTCGCTTAATGGTAAACCTTCTTTTCGGCTTAAGTACGCTTGAGTTAATGAAGTTGAGACTTTGATTAATTTTATTTTGCGACCCAAAATTGCGGGTTATGAATAAAAGAATTGAACCCTAAAGTTTTACCTAGAACATTTTCTAAAAAGTGGTAAGTGGACTCGCTGGCTTTCTTGGATTAACTGGTTCCAGAAATCTATTATTTTTTAACTTTTCACTTAGAAAAATCTTTTCTCTCTAAATTATTAAAAATAAGCAATTCAATTCCTCTTGAGTTAACTTACTTTAAGTATGTAATACTCAAATATAATAAACAATGTATACTATTTATACTTTTTGAGCTAGTACGTTCACATATGTGATGTTAGGCAGTTCTAGACAAAAACATGCAAGTAAACCGTGGATAACACTAAGACAATCTACGAAAAAAGAAATTTCACCCAGTTTAGGTAATTAAAATTTAGACTTCACTGTTTAAAAACAAAAAGTGCTATCGCCAAGAACGCCGATAAGGTGAATTTGCCTAATTACAAATTGATGTTCGCGCTCGTCAATTCTGTTAATAGTCGCTTATCAGCCAACCCCGAAACCAATGTCTCGCTGCACCCAGTGTCAAGTTCGTACAAATGGAGCAAGATAACTTCCGACACAGACACAAGTCCACACGATTTCCGCGAGTCAGTCCAAAAGTAACGTTTTAGAACCCGTGGTGGATTGTGACGCAGGTGCAGCTCTAAAAAATCTTTTATAAAGTACTTAAAACTTTGCAATGTTGAACCTACGCTTTCAACTGTTCACGGTGATTGCTCTCAGCGCGCTGTCATGGATCCAAGCGGCTAGCATATTTTCGGGTGCTTCGTTCAGTCGCATTGTGGGCGGTTCGTCGGCAGTTTCTATGAACATACCGTACATTGTCTCTCTAAAGTCGTTCGGCTTCCACATTTGTGGTGGTTCCATAATCAATGCACGCACCGTAGTCACCGCCGCTCATTGCCTGTTGGCCAGCGATGCTAGGGATTTACAAATTCATGCCGGCGCAAAAACCCGTTCCTCGCACGAGGGCGTGTTGATCAAAGTGGCTGCGATACATTATGATCGCCGCTTCAGCATGGAGACCATGGACTACGATATCGGTTTGGTGCGTCTGTCCAATGCGCTCATCTTCAGCATACGCATACAGCCAATTGCTTTGCCCGCAGCTGGTGAGTTAGTGTTGGATACTGATGTCGGTTTGGTGGCTGGTTGGGGTTACAAGTCCGCTTATGGGCCAGGCTCGTACGTTTTGCGGTACGCTCGTGTGCCTATTATCAATCAGACTGTGTGCAATGAGCAGTTAGAAGGATCCGTCACTGATCGAATGCTCTGTGCTGGCTATGCTGAAGGTGGCATCGATGCCTGCCAAATGGACTCGGGCGGTCCGCTGGTGGTGGACGAGAAACTTGTGGGCATCGTGTCATGGGGTGTTGGTTGTGCGCGTCCTAATAGGCCCGGTGTTTATACACGCGTTTCACAGCTGATCGATTGGGTGCAGACCACGTTGGCAGAGAAGTACGCGGACAGCATTCCAAGAGATAGGAAAAAATAAAAATAAAAAAAAAAACATGCGAAAACCAAAAAAAATTATTTGTGACGAAATTTATTGCAATAAAAATTGGCTTTATGGAGATATCATATAAAATAATGGAGTTTCAATTATAGCAGTGATAATAGGCGTCGCACAGATATGTTTTTGGAAATTTTAGGTTTAAAAATTGGTGGGTTGCCAATTTTTAAAATATTGCCAATAAAATAAAGGGGCTCAGAAGGGATTATTAAAAAAAAAATTTTGCGAATGGTTGCCACATATTTCAAGTGTTATATAAAATGAGTAAAAGCTTTAAAAAGCCAGGACAGGGCTTTATTGTGCGGACTGACGGAGGCTTCGCTAACAGCTTTCCATTTTCCAGTCGACTGACAAAGGAGTTTCGTTAAATTATCGATCGTAAAACTACTACCGAATGTGGTTTTCAGTTTTTCAGAGTCTCTCTTACTCTGCACATGTCGGACAGGTGGGACTAATGTCATCGTTTAATCTGAGGAGGTAGCTTGTAAAGCACCTATATCCACTAAGTATTTGGATCAGATGGAAATCCAGGTACCCACGTTGTCTGTCTATCCACGAGTGGCTGCCCGGAGTGAGTCTGTGAGTCCAGCGCCCTTTGGATGAGGATTGTCAACGCTGCTGCAACATTTTGATGCTATTGTCCCTCTCTTCTATCATTACCGATGCTTTTTTAGGCGCCGATAGCTGAACTCTCTCCTGTCAAAGACTGGCATACTGGCTAATACTTCAAGAGCGTCGGTTGATATAGTCCGGGAAATACTTATTATACGAATTGCAGAAAGCCTGTGTATTGCAATTATTTGTTTAGCATACACTTTTGTATGCATACTAGTGCTGCACACAGTTTTTTTGAAGCTCATTGTTTTTGCTATTATAAAACGACAGCTGGGAGGCACATAGCCTCTATTGGCCATCATTCTCAATAGAGCATTATAAATTTAGTTTGCAGAATGATATTCGGCTGGCTTCCCGGATTGCTAATTCCAATCGGATTTGTATTATATTATATTTCCATGTCGAGCATTTGAGCATACAAAAAGGTCGGTACGATGAAGGTTCTTCAAGTGGTTTCTTTGCTTTTTGTATATTTTAGCGAACAGTTGAGGTTTGGATCTTTCTTCAATGTTCAGTTGGGTATGCCATTTGATCCAGGTGCTTTGGTGTTTTTTATTTTCTTTGCTATGGTCAATAGCTCTTTTTCCGTGACTAACGGGGGTGACTCTGCAGCTTCGTTTCGTCGCTTGGCATAAGAAATCTGACTGTGTTTCGGGAAAAGTGTTTAATTTTATAATTATTAGTTTAATGAGGTATTCATTAGAAGATCCTTTAAAAAAAAAAATTATTGAGTAACGAAATGAGTTTAATTTACGAGTCAACCAACAATTTAATTAGATAGGAATTGGAAGTCATGCTCGATTCTGCCCACTCTATAAAACGCAGTTGGCAGGTGTAACAGAATTGCTGTTAAATTATTATTATGTAATTTGCTTATCTTTCCATCGACAGCATGTAGCGGTCACACCACCGAAATCATATCCCATTGACTGGTGACGGGTCGAGCTGAGTATTGACTGACTTGACTTTTTGATACACACTCCAACAGCGCCGACACTACTGTTTAATGATAATAGCGCTGACAGTGTTGTTGGGCAGAGTTTGTGGGGGCCATTTATCTTTGCAATGGTTATGCAACCGCATGCAGATTTGCTTTGTCCAGCATTTTGCGGCCACTAATGCGGGCTGTGCACTTGACCAAAACACCGACGACGGTGGTTTCGGTGCTGGGAGAGTGGGCGACCGACATTGAACAACGTCATATATCCCGAGGCATTTTCATACGCATATCTTCAGACAAATACACATATTCCTACATGTAACGGTATATGCTTGTGCGTGGAAATGCATGTCGACCTTTGGTATTAGAAGACATTCTCAAGCTGCCGGTGTGAGTTATGCAACGCATGTACTCTAACATGTACTCCTGTATGTATGTACATACACGAAGTGGGAGCCTCACACCACTACTAAAACATTTCAATGTAGTTTCGTTTGTGTGTGCTTGCTTGTATTGGCAATTATTATCCTTAATTTGTACACATATTAACATGAAAATGAGTTTTGCTGGAGTTTGCTGCCGACCCTGCCCCACCAAGGGGCGGACACTGAGCATAGAACGCTCCGAAAGCGAGTGCCTTGGTCGGGTGACTATGCTGTTGTTGCTTAGTGCAATGGCTGTCTTTTCTGTTTGTTTGTGTGCGTGAATGCATTGCATTGTCCATTTGTTAATGAGGCTTTATGAGCCACTAAATTGCGTAAAATAGATTAGATCGACATCTCCGTTGCACATTTGCATGCCACACCCACTGCAATTGAAATTAACTCACTTCATTCTAAGGCACTTTGTTGCTTTTGAAGTGCTTACAGTGCCGTGCAAAAGTATGACGCCGGTGCTGAAAATTCATATTTATGAGTGGCAGTGAAGACATAACACCAGAAGATGGTGAACCCGATTTCCCGTACGATGACGATGGAGCAGCCGTTCCATTGTCCGGCCATGAAGAAATTCCAATAGAAATTACCCGTCTGAAGAACGGAACAACAAAGCGGCCGGGGGTGATGGGGGCTGAGCTATTCAAATATGGCGGCGAAGAATTAATAAGGAGGGCTCTGCCCAAACCACAAAACGGGGGCAGATTCCACGATCTGCGCTAACTACCATGGGATAAGCATCTTCAACAACGCGTATATGGTTTTACCGAGCGTATTGAGGATTAAAGCCCACCGTCAACAAACTGTTTGGACCTTATCAGGGTGGCTTCAGGCCTGAAAAATCACCCGGCCAGATATTCACCATACGCCACAGCTTAGAAAAGACCCGTGAAAAGCGAATCGGCACGCTACACCTATTCGTTCATTTCCAAATCAGGATCGAAATGGACCCCTCCGAGCCATTCGATACCAAACGAGGTTTCAGACAAGGCAACTCTTTATTGTGCGACTTCTTCAATCTACTCCTGGAGAAAATAATTCGAGGTACAGAGCTGAATAGAGAAGCTACAACTTTCAATAAGAGTGTACAGCTGCAGGCGTTAGTTCGGCTTTCTTCAGACTGGATAAGGATGCGAAGCAAATGGGTCTGGCAGTGAACGAGGGCAAGAGGAAATATCCGATGTCATCAAACAAACAGTCATTATACAAGTCCTGTTTATCTCTGGCGATATTTTGGGTACAACAATTTTACTTTTAATTATACTAAGCTTGAGAGATCATCACTCAACTCTTTATTTCTGACTAGTATTTTAATATTTTCCGCACCACTGTACACATATGTATTTTAACATAAGCAATTTATTTTCTTTGTCGGATATTACATTATGCAATTTTATAAGAAGGTAATCATGTAACAAATTCATTAATTTAATGACTTTGTACACTCTCTAAGTCTGTTATACCCACAGCTTTAGTGTAGGGTTTGGTGTCTTATACTTTAAGATGTTTGGAGTATGTAAATTAAATTCAATATTTCATGTACTGTTTGTATTTAAGGACTCAATGCTGTGGTATTTTTGCATAAAGCCTTAGCCGGAGCGCAATATCATCCCAGACTGGCTCTGAGATGAAAAGGAAATACTACTGTCATTAAGTTTAGTGATCGCCACAAAGGTCAGCTGAGTGAACTTTTAAGATTTTTTGAGGCTAAAGATCAATTGTATTGAATATTTTGTTGTTGTTTCTTTGTTCTATGAAGTTTTCAGTCCATTTGTAAAAGTAACCGTTTTATGTAGAATTTATGGATGTTACTTTAATATATATATAAGTATTAGTATTAATGCCGAATATTTTGTATAAGGTGCCAGGTGCCAGGTGCAGTAAAGCTGAAAGTTGATAACAATAATAAATCAGAAATTTAAAAGATGTCTGTTATGTTACGTTTTCATTGCGTTAATAATTCTAGTTTAAAATTGAAGTATTTTTCAATGTAATATTGGGTCGTTCACGTTCGTTTTTTCAGTGCAATTTAAACCTGATTTTTTATTGTGTAAAACATTTTAAGAAGTTATAAATTCTCCATTTTCATCCAATAACTTTCGCCATCTTTCGAGCAGGACATTGATTTCACGCTCAAAATATGTTTGATCCTTGCAGGCAAATAACTGGTAGAAATGTTTTCTGATGACCTGATTTGTAGAGACCGGAATAAGTAATATCCCGAAGGTGCCAAGTCTTGAGAATATCTCATTTAAGCTGCAAACGCTTTTGGTGAGTTATCAAACTTTTAGCATTATCCTGATGGAACGTTACCATTACAATTTCTGGCCTCTTTTGTTTCAGTGCACCAGTTAAGGTTTTCCTTTGAAGTCCCACCAAACAGAGACTATAGCCTTTTTAAATGACTATCGGCCCTCGAAGTGTTTTGAGCTAGTTCATTCTATATATTCTCTTGCGCTTTACATTCTTATAAACCACTTAGGGCTGACAAATGAATCACTTGTTTGATGTTAGCACAGCGTTTAAGCGGCTAAAAAAAAAAAAAAGAAAAGTTAAATTTCCTAGACGTTAGACAAATTTTATCTTTAAGCAATCTCTTGATATGTTATACGACGATTTGCATCGCCCAACGACTTTATTTTGTCCACATCCGCTTCAAGAGTCCATGCAGAACGTGGTTCATCCATAAGGTCGAAATTGCCGGAACGAAATTTTGCAAACGAATTTTGGTATTGGCGTTCCGTCAACCAATCTTCTCCGTATACCTGTACGTCACATAATTTTCAAAAAAAAAAAAAAAAAAAAAAAAAAAAAAAAAAAAAAAAAAAAAAAAAAAAAAAAAACAAAAAAAAAACAAAAAAAAAAAAAAAAAAATAAAAAAAGTTAATCGTAGATATTTATGAAAGCAAATTTTCAAATGCTGAATAATTTTTATACTTGTATTAAGTAGGCTGTCATTCTAAAGGTTGCTCTATTCCTTACAATGCATTTGGACTTTCTTTGAAGTTCGCGCATTACTTGATCGGTTATAAAAATCCAGCTTAATATTCCTGCTT